AAAATCAAATCCCAATTTTTATTCTTAAAATTAATTTTAAGAATAGTGAAGTGCCAGAATTAAATCAGTTCTAAAATTAAAACATTGGTCCAGATATTTTCTGATGTAGATACATATGATATGTTGAAATGGAATCAGAGTTGAGTAAACTTTATTGTTTCTTTGTTGTCTAATGGGAGATTTTTTTTAACTACAATAAAGGATTTTGATTATTTTCTCCATCAGAAATGGTGTTTGAGGGACTTCAAAACAGCATACTACAGGGATACAGCCATATCAATATTTATAGCAACACAATTTACAATAGTTAAATTGTAGAACCAACCCAGATGCCTTCAGTAGATGAATAGATAGGGAAAGTTTGGTATATATACACAATGGAACATTACTCAGCTTTAAAAGAGAATAAAATCATGGCATTTGCAGGTAAGTGGATGGAGTTGGAGAATATAATGCTAAATGAAGCAAGCCAATCCCAAAAAAACAAAGGCCGAATGTTTTCTTTGATATGAGGATGATGGCTCATAATGATGATGGGGTGGGGGAGCATGGGAGTAATGGGGGAACTTTAGATAGTGCAAAGGGGAGGGTGGGGAAGTGGGGGGAAAGGGGTAGGAATAATGGTGGAATGAGTTAGACATCATTACCCTAAGTACATGTATGAAGACACAAATGGTATGAAAATACTTTGTGTACAATCAGTGACTTGAAAAATTGTGTTCTTGTGTGTAATATGAAACAAATTGTATTCTGCCATCATGTATAACAAATTAGAATAAATAAATAATTAAAAAAAGAAATGATGTTTGAGGAAATTAACCTGATTTGCATATTTTATATATACATTTATTGAAACATCACATAGTACCCCACTAATATGTTCAGTTTTTTTGTTTAAATGTATCAAATTAATTTCATAAAACTAATAATGGTGGCACAGAAATTCATTACATTTAGCTAAAACCTTTTCAATATCTCTAATCCTTTTATGGTTTTTTCATACCTCAGTATTAACTCTAAAAATATATGGCATTTCAATTACTGTTCTTTTTGTATCATAAACTAAGGAAAAGTGAAATCTAGATTGTTCTAGACAGACCAACCAAAATTCTGAATGTGATTACAGAGATAATCTGATGTACAGTCTATCAGGCATTGTAGCAAGAATTAAAAATACCAAATAAAGGAGAAATGACATAATTTCTATCTAAATTGCAGAGATTACTTCTGCATCTCATAAAAAGAGAGTTCCTTTTCAATAACAATATTTTATATTTGTTCCTAAATGTCAAATTGTTTTAAAATATATAAGTGGTTTAAAAAGTAATTTTACTTTTATATATATATATATATATATATATATATATATATATATATATATATGAATGTTCAGAGTGACCAAACTTTTAGAATACAGTATTTTATTAATTTTATTAATAAATCAGGAAAATAAAAGATTATAATTAATATTATAATAAATATAACATTTGAAATTGAACAGATAAATATAGAAGAAAAGTCAAAGGTTTCAAAAGCTAATGTTTGATATGGTTGTTTACTTACTCTTTTAACAGATTATGTTGCTTGATGTGGTTATTTTGGGCTATTTGGAAATAAAAATGGATATGCAGTTAAAAAAAGAGGCATATTCTTTGCTTGCATTTCTACAAAATTCTATAAAATGCCAAGTAATCTGTACTTTTTGTGTCAATGGTTGCTTGAAGATGGGAGATAGGAAAGTTGAAAGGAATCATTACAAAGGGCAGCAAGAAACTTGTGGGTGATAGATATATTCATTAACCTTGATTGTGATGATAGTTTTATAGGATATGTATATGTCAAAACTTACCAAATTGTATATTTTATATGCATGCAGTTTACTTTTTGTTAGTCACATACAGTTTCTAAGAAAGTAGCAGGGCCTTTAGCATGTCCTCTGGATTTTCTTCCTCTTCCCTCTGCCTCTCTGATTTATTGGGGAAGTTTAGGTATCTGGGCACAAAGGATCATGACATTTCATGGATTTGCCCATCTTCCTCTTCAGTGTGAGTGGAAAGACCCAGTAGAAGTGAGTTCCTGTTAATGCTCCCTTCACCACAACTTTCGTCATGGCCCTATGCACCCTCTAGGAGGCACTTTCCAGGAATGTGTTAGCTCAATGCAAATACTGTCACTGGTTTCCCTCCAATTTGGAGAGTTGCTGCCCATACCTTGAGCATTTTAAACTAATGTCCACTGTGTTCATTTCCTAGGGATGCTAGAAGACAGTATCATAAACTCAATAGCTTAAAAACAACAGCATTTATTCTCTCACAGTTCTGGAGGCCAGAAGTCTGAAATCAAGGTATGGGCAGGGCTACACTCCCTTCACCAGTTGTAGAGCAGAATCCTTCCTGCTGCTTCCAGCTTATGGGAGGAGCATCTTGGCTTCCTTGGCTTGCATCTTGCATAACTCCAATCTCTACCTCTATCCTCACCTAGTCTTTCTCCCTCTGTCACTCAAATATCCCTCTACCTTTGTCTTATAGGGATACTTATCATTGGATTAGGGCCCACCCTAATTCAGGCTTAAATCTCCAAATCTTTAATTATATCTGCAAAGACCCTTTTTTCAAATAAGCTCATATTCACAGAATCTGTGGATTTAGGAGTTGGATTTGTCTTTGGCAGGGGAGCATAATTCAATTCACTTTAGCCATCTGTATCTTCAGGATAAGGCATGTGCCATTGTCACAGGATCTGGGACTTACAGGAAGAGACAGACTCCTCAGGATCTAGGAATATTTCAGCTTTTGAATCCATAGTACTCAGATCTCTGATATCCTAGCAAGAGTCAAAAAAGAAAAAGAAAAAAAATCCAATATGACCTCTTTACCCTGTTCTTTGGCTGTAGTGATGGGTCAGAGCCTTGGGCCATTCATAACCCAATTAACTTGGCAGACAGCTAGTAAACTAGAGACCTTACCAGTAGCCCTAAGTCTTAGAAGAAAGGAGCATTTACTGGATTTCTAATCTGTGCCAAGATTTTCACTTTATCTCCACAAAGATGTTATGAAAAAACAAAAAAGTTGTACTGTTTTACAGAAAAGGAAACTGGTTACAAAACTTTTGCAGTCTGCCTAGACTCACAGCTAGTAAATGGCAAGTCCGCAATTTGTACTGACATGCCCTGGCTCCAAAGCCCAGTAACATTGTGACTATGTAGGACTGGGTAGCAAGCCCATGGAATAAGAGTGATCTTAAGCCAGCTGCACACATGATCATCACTGCTTCCCTCTGATAATGGCCATTTAGTGATAAATAACTTTTAGTGGCATAAGAGTGGCACCCAGTGGCTTCAGTTACACACTACAAGATCAAGGATAATACATAAAATTCTTTTAATGTGGAGCTAATCCCTCAATTTCCATTAATAAAGAAAAGGTAGAATTGGTGACCCTCTTATGGGTAGTGCTGCTGTGAACATTTTTGTGTAGACATGTTTGAAATTCTTTTGGGTATATCTAGAAATGTAATTTCTAGTTCATATGGTAACACCGTGTTTAACTGTTTAACTTTTTTTTTTTTTTTTTTTATGTAGGAATTGAACTCAGGGCTACAAATGTGCATGCTAATAAGCACATGTTGAACCACTGAGCTGCCCTCCCAGCATATTTAACATTTTTTTGTGTGGTATTGGGAATTGAATCTAGGAGTGATTTACCACTGAGTTATGTTCCCAGAGCTGTATTTTGAGACAAGTTGTCACTAAGTTGCTGAGGCTGGCCTTGAACTTGTGATCCTCCTGCCTTAGATGCTGGTATTATAGGCATGTACCATCACACCTGGCCCTGTTTGTTTATATTTTTGAAGAATTTCCAAACCATTTTCCAAAGGTGGCTATACCATTTTATATTACTGCTAGCTCTGCAGTGGTTCCAATTTCTTCACATCCTAATCTACAGTCGTTTCTTTCCTCCTTCTTATTGCAATCCTAGTTGGGGGGGAAGTAGTATCTCAGTGATTTTGATTCACATTTCCCTAATGAGTAAGGATATTGAGCATCTTTTCGTGTCTTATTGGCAGATTATATACCTTCTTTGGAGAAACATCTATTCATATTCTTTGCCCATTTTTAGATTGGGTTGTTACTTTATATTGAACTATTAATTATTTATTCTGGATTTTAAAAGTACCTTATCAGATATGATTTGCATATATTGTATTCCATTCTTGTTGGGTTTACTTTTCAAGTGTCCTTTGAAGCACAAGCTTTTAATTTTCATGAAGAAGATACATATTTTATAACTTTGTATGAGGAGCTGGGAGAATTGGGTCATGGTCCTAGTAAGTATCTCTGTTTTTCTGTCCAGATTGGACCAACTGGTGTGGCAGAGCTCTGAAGGGCTACACATGACTACAGAATGTTCCCTTTGGCTTCCCAGGTTTGACTGTTCCAGTCAGTTCTTTATTGAGCACTTACCCTGTGTATGGCACTCTGCTAGCTATAAAGAGACAGACCTTCCAAGTGATTTAAAGTTTAGAAGATGGACATATGCACACAAAAATGGTGAATAGGGGGCTGGGTCCAGTGTTGCACACTGGTAATTCTGGCTACATGGGAGGCTGAGGCAAGAGAATTGCAAGTTTAAGGTCAGCCTGAGCAACTTAGAACCAAAATTAAAATAAAATAAAAAGGATGAAACTCAGTGGTTAAAAAAAAAAAAAAAAAAAGATGAATGGGTATACAGAGTGTGCTTCAGAGCCTGAGGAATGGGGCAAACAGTAGGCAAGTGTGTGGAGTTCAGAGGAAGTAAGGATATGTCAGCAGTACTAGAGTGAGCTGCAGAAGGAAGCCTTGAAGGCTGGAGGCCAGGTAGGGGGATCCATGAGGAAGTTAAGAGGGAGTTCCAGGTGGAGAACAGCCCTTTTGGATTGGCTAAGCTCTCAGGCACACTCCTATTTCACTGGGGTTCATTCATGTGTCTGAATAACTCACTTGGAATTTTTGATTTTTAAAGCAGCTGACCCCAGAGAAAAAAGATTTAGCCCAGAACACTGAGGATGCACATGAGAACAGCCCAGAGCTCCTTGCAGGTAAGGCTGTAGCTTTTCAGGTAAGCCCTGGATTGAAACTGAGGTGGTAGGACATATTGTTTCAAGCTGTCCACTGCACCTTCATCAACATCCTTCTGGGATTTGGGGGGGTTGGCTCCCCCTGCCATTGTGGTCTTCTGAGATAGGGCTAGAAATTTCTAATATGGGTTGTATAGTTACAGATAGGTGCACTTGATGGGGAGGGGGAAGGTAACAGGCAGATTTCAGGGTGCTCAGTCTGATTAATTCCCTTATCTTTCCTTTTTTTTTTTTGTCCCAGGGATTGAACCCAGGGGTGCTCAACCACTGAGCTATATCCTCAGCCTTTCTTTTTATTATTATTTATCTTGAGACAGGGTCTTGCTAAGTTGCTTAGGGCCTCTCTAAATTGCTGAGGCTGGCTTTGAATTTGTAATCCTCCTCCTCAGCCTCTGGGAGTCACTGGGATTACAGGCGTGTGACACCACACCTGGCTTTGTATCTTTTCTTGATCATCAGTATTGATAATGTAGCTCTCCCACATATTAGTTGCTGCTCTTTTGAGCTCTGGAAGCTGTTCCTGGTTACAGATCTCACCTCAGTTTTGATGTGTGTTGTGAGGAGGTGTCAGTGTGTGATGTGATGGTATTTATACTGAAGTCTTTTCTTCATACCTGCCTCCACCCAACTCTCAGCCTTCAGGGCCAGCAGCCACAGAGGTAATAGCAGTTCTCATGAATAGTTACTGACAATTGCTGAGCACTATTCTGGATCCTTTAAAGTTTACTAATGCTCTTAGTTCTCAAAACAATCCTATGCAGTATAGGCACCATTATTCTCATTTTTAGGTGAGGAAATTGAGGCTGAGAGAACAATGCCAATAAACTTACACAAGGTCACACAGCTGGTAAATGACAGATCCAGAATTCAAATCCAGGCAGCCTACCTCTGATCTATCTCTAGACAAGCCATATTAGCAGAGATGCTTTCCTATAGATCTTGAGTCCTTCAGACAAAACAGTATCTGGGCTTGAGGAACTTTGGGGACTGTGACTTCAGTCCTTGTGCTCTGTTGCTAAATCCCTCTTTCTAGGGTACAGCTATAACACAGTGCATGCTGTCTATGCTTATGCCCAAGATGTATTCCTGAATCATTCTTTCCATTGAACCATGTTTTGAATGTTGTTGGGGGCTGTTTGTTACTGAAAAGAATGCTACAGAGAAGGTTTGTATAAAGCAAATAATCTAGTGTTATAAATTCAGATTTGGAGACTTAAAAAACATTGTAGTATGTATGCAGTGAGAAAAGGCAAAAGAATAGGTATCTTCTCTCAGATGGAAGACTGTTAACATTTAGTTCAACACCTTCTGTGGACCCTGGGGAGATGCTAGGCTCTTCCACAAAACTTATTTAGTCCTTATGGTGACCTTGTGGGCTGCATCGCTCCTCCCACAAATTAGACAACTCAGGCTCAGAGGTCAGGTAAAGGACTTAATCTCAGCAAGATGCCTCCAAAGCCCATGCTTTCTCTATTGTGCAACATGAGCCTTAAAATCTGGTTGCTTACAACCAGGTGGGACCTCCTAGAAGATCATTTGAGTTGTTCTTCCCTAAAAAACCTGCAACTGTCAGCAGCATGCATTCTGTGTTCCATGTAGAGAGCTTCAAAGAAGAAAATTGCTGAACAACTGTGTGTTGATGTCCCTGGACATCCATGGTCCATTCACTCAGGAGCCTTTGGTTTATCAGTACTTCCCCCCACCCTTTTTTTTTGGCCCTCTCTCTTCAGTGGCTACTCCATTCTTTTAAAAGTCCACCCAGCCTCTACTCCCAACATAGCCTCTTGCTTTACACTTACTTTTTTTCCCTCAGTAAACTTGCCAACTTGTATTCCTCCCACTGTAAAGCCTTATTAGTAAGGGAACCTTTACCCTTCAGGCTTGGGGTGGAATCATCCTTTCAGTTTTCTAAGGACCTGTTTGTGTCAGTTATCACTTCTGTACCTTTCCCTCTCTTCTGAGTTCTTTTTCTTTAGCAGGTCAATCCTTCATTTTTTCAAAAGGACATCTCCCATGACTTTTGTCTCCTCCACCTATTCTCAGTCTCTCTCTAGCCCATCTCAACCAACATTCTCAAAACAAGCTGCATGTATACTCTCCCCCTTTCCTTTCCTTACACTTTCCCAAACTTAAGAGTATTTCTCTGTGACTTCTGTACTTGCAAGTTCTCTCATTAGGAAGTACTTTTAATCACCAAATTGTGCATTTATCTTTATCATTTCTGAACTATTTACAGAATTTGGCACTATAAAAGTAACTTACCTGGTTCTCTCTTTTTGAGCTTTTTTCTTCCACTACCTTCCTCTGGTCATTATTCAACAGTGATCATCCTACACTCCATCTTTATCTTCCATTCCAGCTGTTAACCACTGTGATTCTGGGTTCAAGACTCTCAAATTGGTATGACCTGCCTGTTCTCTCCTAAATGCCAGAAAGGAGCCTTATCTGCTCTAGGTAGCTCACAGGGAGATCCCATTGGTACCTCAATTTCTTCTCTCCTGATACCTTCCTTCTGCAAACCCCACCCCACTGAGATCAGCTCTTCTTACTTTAGGCTGCCATTAATGGTACCACTATATATCTAGTTCTTTACAGATAAATTAGATTCATTTAATGTCTTCCTGCATTTAGTTTGATATAAGCAAACTTATGACAAAGTGATCCTTCTAAGCTATATAATCAACCATATATTTTTCTAGTCCTTAAAACTCTTCACTGTCTTCCTGTTTGTTTCCTATGGCTAAAAAACTCATTTCTTAGCCTCCTCTGATTCCTGTGAACCCCTCAAACTTATTTGCTAGGATCCCATACCTTATATGTAGGATGTTTTATGCTTTTATATAAAGTTTATTTGCATGACTTTCAGTGTGGAATTCCTTTTCCTTCCCTTATCTGTCTGGTATATCTCTCTTCATCCTCCCCAACCCAGCTCTGGCATCTCCTCAGGGAAGCCTTTCTTCACCCTCCCATGATTAAGTTTCCTTCTCTTTTGTGCCTCTGGGCTGTGTACACATCTTTGCATTCCTCCACCACGTGTGAGCTACTCCCAGGGAAAAGCTCCTTGATTTACATTCCCAGGACAGGCTCAGGAATCATGTATTGACCCACATTGCTTTAAGTTTGCATAAGCGAAATCAGTTAAGAATAGGAAAGCTGCCTATGGGCACTTCAGGAGAAAGGTGAGGCCTGTTCCCCAGAGCTTGGCCGGGAGGAAAGACCTTGATAGTGCAGACTCCATGGACAATCTATGAGTGAAAAGTCGCTGAGGACACCTGAGCCCTCAAGTAAGGGCTTGGTAGTATCCCAGTGGCCCCTTCTAAGGACCAGCTCAAGGGGGATAGGTAGGCCAGAAATCGTTCATACAGCGTCTGCCTGCTCCTGAAGACCCCACAGCTGAAGTTTTTGCTCTGGACAGGACCAGATGATAGAGATGGGGTGAGAGGAATCTTCATAAGATGAAGCGGGCCTGTTTTCTCCTAGAGATCAGTGGGCAAGCAGAAAACAAGAAGCTTAAGAGGGGCAGCCTCCATCAGAGCGTGGAGGAAATGGAAGCTCCCCATTCTGCCAGCGCCCCGGGCACGCCAGAGATCTGCCCGCGCCGCCTGGAGCCCACCGCGGCCTCCCTCACCGTGAGCAGGGCGGAGCGCCGCACGGTCCACGTCCAGGCTCCCGTGCCAGACAGGGCGAGCCCGGGGAGAGTTCTGGAGGTAACCCGGCGAGCACTGCGCGGAAGGGCGCGGCGGGAGGTACGGGCACCTGGACGTTACGGAGTCCTCATCCCGGGCTCCCTTTGCTCCCGCAGGATGCACTGTGGCTGCAGGAAGTCTCCAATCTGTCCGAGTGGCTGAGTCCCGGTCATGGATCCTGAGCTGGACAGCTACTGAGAGTCCTCGGGGGCGGGAAGGGGCAGCTGGCCGCGAAGTTGTTGCTTCAATAAACCTGCACTGCGCACCTTGTCTGTCTGTTTCAGTGCTGGGGCTGTACGCTGGGGCGGAGCCAGGCGCTGGGGCGGGGTCAGGGGCCTGCGCCGCCGCCTGACGTCATCCGCGCTGCCGCGGGCTCGCGTCACTGGTGCGCGCCGCGGGTGCGGGCGCGATGGCGGCGCTGGGCGGGGATGGGCTGCGCCTGCTGTCGGTCTCACGGCCTGAGCGGCAGCCGGAGTCAGCGGCGCTGGGCAGCCCGGGTCCCGGGCTGTGCTGCTGGGTGTCGGTGTTCTCCTGCCTCAGCCTTGCCTGCTCTTACGTGGGCAGCCTGTACGTCTGGAAGAGCGAGCTGCCCAGGTGCGGGGGCTGCGCGCGCCGCCGGAACCCGCGCCCCCGAGAGGCGGGGCTGCGGGCGGAGTTTTGGCGAGCCGGGGGCGGGCCGCGCTCACAGGTGGTGGCTGCGGTGGAGGGGGGGGGTCCCTGAACTTACTGTCACCCTCGTAGGGACCACCCTGCCGTCATCAAGCGGCGTTTCACCAGTGTCCTGGTGGTTTCCAGTCTCTCACCCCTCTGCGTGCTGCTTTGGAGGGAACTAACGGGCATCCAGGTGCGAAGGAGGCGGGACAAAGTGCAAAGGGGGAATGAACTCAGGGGTCTTTGTGGGAGAGAGCAAGACTGATGCCCCCTTTCCTGTGGCTCAGCCAGGCACATCCCTGCTCACCCTGATGGGCTTCAGGCTGGAGGGCATTTTCCCAGCAGCACTGCTGCCCCTGCTGCTGACCATGGTGAGTTCTACAGCTTTATCTCTTTTCTGTTCTTTGTCACTAGCACGGTGTGTCCTTTGTAGCCGTTTTGTTATCTTGGTTGTGTCTGTCTTTTTGGCTGATGGGAGACAATTTGTGATATGGCCCTAGGGTCCTGGGTATGCACAGATGGGAAATTAGAGAATTCAGGAAGCCCGAAGTCTCCTGAGGCTGGTCAAGGGCAAAGGTCTGGGTAAGGTCAGTAAATATGGTGGAAGTATTTCCTTTAATCTCTGCTGTTTTTCTGCTCCCAGATCCTTTTCCTGGGTCCACTGATGCAACTCTCTCTGGATTGCCCTTGTGATCTGGCAGATGGGCTGAAGGTGGTCCTTGGTGAGTCTTTAAGACAGAAAAGAAAAAAAAAATAGGCATAGGCAGTCCAAGCCAGGAGTCTGTGGGCTCTTGGTTATATCTGAATAGGAGACATGAGATGTGTTTCCTCATCAGTAAAATTGTATCGTATTGCTGGGGGTCTTCTAAGAATTGGTTCCTAGAGGCCAAGGAGGCCCTTCTGGATCCCAGCAGTATTTGCTGCGGGTTGGAGAGTATTATCTGCCTCTTTTCCATCCTTGACTTCCTGAAAGCAGAACTGGTTTTGGTTAAATTTTGATGTCTCTAGAGTTTACTACCAGGCTCTCCTGCCTCAGCTACTAATGCCTTCCCTTTTAATCATCTCAAGATATTGTTTTGCATTAGGTCTGGTAAAGTTTGATTGCCTCCTTCACTCCTGTTCTCAGAAATATTGATGCCTGATCTGCACTTGGCTGGAATACAGTTCTTGGGGAAGGGCCTCTGGGATCTCACTGTTCAATAGCTAGTCGTTCATTGTGTGTTCTGAATCTGCTTCCCAGCCCCTCGATCCTGGGCCCGCTGCCTCACAGACATGCGTTGGCTGCGGAACCAAGTGATTGCGCCCCTGACAGAGGAGCTGGTATTCCGGGCCTGTATGCTGCCCATGTTAGCACCATGCATGGGCCTGGGCCCTGCTGTGTTCACCTGCCCACTCTTCTTTGGAGTTGGTGAGTCTGTTTAACCTGATCCTGCTAAGATGTTCCCAGTGTGAGACCTGAGAATGGGGCTGGGAGTGAGGGGTGGGCCTGGAGGGAAGGTCAGAGGGATAAAACTTGGTTCTTGCCTTCCTCGCAGCCCATTTTCACCACATTATTGAGCAGCTGCGTTTCCGCCAGAGCAGTGTGGGGAGCATCTTCTTGTCTGCAGGTGAGTCCTAGAGAGCTTGCCTGGGGGTAGTCCTGGGTTGGGGTGCCCCAATAGCCACTCTAAAGAAAGGATTGGAAACAGAGGGCTATATAGTATTGGAGAGACCACTGAGAGTTGGGGTGCAGAGGACAGATGTAGGTGGTAGGACACGTGGCCTCTGCCTTGGGGGAAGGGGGTGATCTCTGGTTGATGGGTGGGCAGTGCTGGGGCAGGGTGGGTGTGCAGGTGTGGTCACTCGAAGCCTCCCGTCTCCAGCGTTCCAGTTCTCCTATACAGCTGTCTTCGGTGCCTACACTGCTTTCCTCTTCATCCGCACAGGTTGGTCCTTAGTATCTCATGGGTCTCCAGGGGCTTGGGGGCCCACAGGAGTGGGTGGGAGAATGGGAATACTGTGTTGTTCTAGGAGCAACAAAATTTCTTCTACCACAGTCGTTGAGACAAGCTGAGCCAGGGCCCTCAGCTTGGTGAGGTCTGAGAGGTGGAAGGAAGCAGAGGCCATGGTATGTGGGTGGATGGGTTTTTCCCCCCACCCCCAATGAGCTCCTATTTCAAGGGATGAGGGTCACTAGCCCTGGAAGGGCCAGAAAAGATGATAGGGCTGCTTTATAAGTTGTACTGTCTCCTCTCCTCAGGACACCTGATTGGGCCTGTTCTCTGCCACTCCTTCTGCAATTACATGGGCTTCCCAGCTGTGTGTGCTGCCCTGGAACATCCGCAGAGGCGGCCCCTTCTGGCAGGCTATGCCCTGGGTGTGGGACTCTTCCTGCTTCTACTCCAACCCCTTACCAACCCCAAGCTCTACGGCAGCCTTCCCCTTTGTGTGCTTTTGGAGCGGGCAGGGGACTCAGAGGCTCTCCTGTGCTCCTGACCTTCACTCCTGTGTACACTCCAGTGAACTCTCATGGGCTCCGTGGCCCCTCCCCATCAAGGGGTACTGCAGGAAGGGGCTGGCCAGGGTCCCCGAGATCTCAGGAATTTTTATAGGGGATTGAAGCCAGAGCTAGTTGAATCCCAGGGACCAAGAGAAAGGAGCAGATATCCAAAGGATGCAGCCCCTCTTGAAAGGGGGCGAGGAGCAACTGGGAGTGAGGGGACCAAGGAACAGGTCCTAGGAGCTGTGCACTCCCTTCCTCACTTTGGACTATTGCTTCTCCTAGCTCCTCTGCCCCCTTCTGCCTCTGAAAAGCTGCTCAGGGGTTTTTATTTATAAAACCCCTCCCCCAAACTTCCAGGGTTTTCTCATTGTCTTTTTGCATCAGAACTTTGTATTGGGGTATTAAAGAGATTTAACTTGGGTAACATGGCCTTGAACCTTTGGGAATTCATCTATTTGGGGTCTTGGGGAAACACTTCAGGCCGCTTATGGGAGTGTGTCCACCCTTCCCCCCACTATCTTGAACACTACCCTTTGGGCACTTCACCCTAATAGGCATTTCCTGGGAATAGAGGACAGGATAGGGACCTTTGGCTGCTGAGGCCATGGCTTCTGCCTTCCTGAACGACATCCCAAGTCCTAGATAAATGGGTTTGAGACTGCAGGTATGGGCCCTGTTCATCCTAGGCCTGTACCTTGACTGTTGGGGTCAAGGAGTGGGACCCATGGTCCTAACCCTAGTGATAAAGAACCTTTAGCCTTTGTTCGGGTGTAGGCTCAACCAAGGCCTTCAAGAAATCAGTCCAGAATGGAAGAGGAACCCTCTCCAAATTTCTCAGAAGTGAAGGCTTCTGATTCTCTCTACCTGACCACTGCCACGGTGCCTCACCTAGCCACTGAAGAAACTCAGAACAAAGGCTATAGACCCAAGAACAGCAGGGACTCTACCAAGCCATCTGGTAACTAGAGGTTCTTTCTTAGAACCTGCTAGTGTTCTGTCTGTCCCTCACCTCACTTTTAGAATGGTTCTTATTGCCCTACCTAGAATCTTTTCCCTTTTTATTCTTAAAAGAATATCCTTTTAGGTCCCATTCTGTACTCAAGGAATTTGTCCCAAAGTCCCCTTTCTTGAAGAAGTTGGTGGTTAAAGGAAATGGATGTATAGTCACTTCCCTTTGACACTCTCAGGTTGGCTGTGACAAGATCATATTCACCTAGATCCAAAGGGCAGTCTCAGAGCCAGGTGGTGCATGCTTGTAATCCCAGTGACTCAGGAGGCTGAGACAGTTGCTAAGTCCCTAAGCAACTTAGCAAGACCCTTTCTCAAAAAATAGAAAGTGGACAGGAGATGTAGCTCAGTGGTAAAGTGCTCTGCGTTCAATCCCCAGGACCAGAAAAATGAAATAAAGGGCAACATCACCGTCACACACCTTCTTCCTTAAGGAGCTTTCCTCTTCCCCAGCCTGTGTGGCAGCTGTTGGAGACAGAGGAGTGAGCAGGGGCCTGTTTTAGAGGGTACATTTGGGAACCTGGGTCCACTGCCTTGCTCAATTCAGAGGTCTATGACCAGAACCGCAAGAACACCCAGAAGACAGGCCTGCAGGGTGCTGTTTCCTGCCTGGTTCCCTCTGGGAGCTAGCAGATCTGGACTCTCTCCCCTTCCTCAAAGTCCAGCGTTTCCTCCATCAGCCCTCTCCTCTCCTGCTCAGGAACTGCTTACCTCTGCCTGCAATCCTCACCCATGGTGGAGGAACGGGAGGGCATTGATACAGCCAGGGTTACTGTCCCCATGGCAGGTGAGGGACTGAGGCTCAGGATTCTCTATGGCCAGTTTGGATGGGCAGGGGAGGACCTATGAGACTTGATCCAGGGACGCTGCTGACCTCCCACCAACAGCCTCACACTGAACACATCACAAACATCTCTGTGGTGGTCCAGTTCCCTAGGGTCTCCCCAGAAGGTGCCCGGAAGGTGCTGACTGTACTTAGCTCTGCACTGACTGGAGGTAGGAGGTTGGCCACAGTGTGTCTGGGAAGCAGGTCTGCCAGAGTCTGGATTTGGTCTCTTTTTGTCTCTTTGTAATTATGGAGCCCTGGAAAAGCTATCTAATGTGTGACTAGATTTGTGTCAAGGTGGGCAGTTAATAGTTACCCAGTGCTTAGAACAAACCCTAAACAAGTTTAGTAACAGCTGATCCTTTGGGGGATATGTGTATAATAGACACTCAGTAGTGGCAGAAAATGGCCACAGTTGTCATCCTTGCTACCCTCCAAGGAGGATAAAAACAACTGGTCTGCCCCTGGCTCCCATGGGGAGTTTTAGAGAGAGCCCTACCCACTCTGCCTCTGGGCTGGGGCTGCTGCACAGAACCCAGTGTGGAGGGCAGGGAAAAGCCAGTTTTATTGAGGAAATTTCCCAAGACATGGGGCTTAAGTCTCCCCTGCCAGGAATTAGGACCCCCTAAGCTTTTACCCCCAGGTCATAAGACCACCTTCCCCACCTGTAGTCCCCCACAAGGAGAAGACCTTATTTGGCAAGAGATGAATATGTGAGCAACTATCCACCAGTGGAGAACAGGGAATGGGCTGTAGGTGATGGCTCTGCTGTCCCACTGGAGACAGGACCTCCAGGGCCAGGCCTGCCTGCCCTCAGGCACTGGCTGGCCTGGGCCTGCTCTGGCAACACAGCTTATTTCGAAGGTATGGGGTGAGGATGGCCAGGCTGCCAGTCTTGGGCAAGATCAGTCAATCTCCAGGATGAGGTCATCACCTTCCAGTGTCATGTCCTTAGTCACATGGACCTTGCAGACAGTACCCTCTATGGGCGAAGTAACCACAGTCTCCATCTTCATGGCACTGAGCACACACAGGGGTTGACCCTTGACTACCTTGGCTCCTGCTGCCACCTTGATGTCTATCACCTTCCCAGGCATGGGCGCTCCGATCTGGCCCTTCACATCCTTCAGAGCCTTGGGGTGGAAGTGCATCTCCTACAGACAGGGCAAAAGGGCATGAGATACTGGGCCCAGCCCACCCACCATCTGGCTGGTCCTGGGGGAGCCGCACCTTCATGGCCTGTGTGTCCTTGACCAGGATGGACCGCAGCTGCCCGTTGAGCTCAAAGAAGACCTGCCTCTGGCCAGCCCGGTTCAGGTCACTCACAGCCAAGGCTTTGATGTGCAGTGTCTTGCCTCGCTCCAGCTCCACCTGCAGGGAGGGTGTGGGGGCCCAGAGCTGGGGCAGAGGGCAATAAGGAGAGCAGGCCCCTGACCCCACCACAGGGAAGTCTTTTGCCCTGGGTTTTGGCTGCTCACATGTAAAGGCCTAGCTCCTGTTCTCTTAAGGGTCCTTTCTGCTCCCAAAGCTCCTGAGACTGGGAGAGAACCCAACCAAATCTGAAGCTCTAGGGCAGGGGTGCTGGGACAGTGTGAATAAGCACCAGAGCCACTGACCTCAAACTCTTCTGCAATTCTGGGGCCCTGCAGGAAGAGGCGGGTATTGAGGCTGTCCAGGGGGCCAAAGGTAGCAGTGAAATCCTTGAATTGGGCAAAGACATCAGGATACATGGCCGCTGAGAGCACATCCTCTGGGGTAATCTCCTCTCCATGCCGCTCTACCAACTCCTTCTCCAGTGCCTGCAGGTTCAGGGGAGGGAGGGAAGCCCCAGGCCGCCCCTCTACCCTTGGCAGGTCCTTCAGCACCTGGGGAGTAAAAGCAGAGGGTCAGACCTGATTTTCTGCAGGTCCAGCTCCCACCCTCACAGCATGCTGGGCCTTCCCTACCTTAGAGCGAAAGGGCTCAGGGAACCCCCCATGAGGGACACCAATGTAGCCCTGCAGGAACTCCACCACAGAGCGGGGGAAGGACAGCTCTTCTGCCTGTGCTTCAGCCTCTGCTCGGCTCAATCCATTCTGCACCATGAACTGGGCCAGGTCCCCCACAATCTTGGAAGAGGGCGTCACCTGAGAAGGGTCTCTAAGTTAGGACAGCAGGCATCTTATTAGAGGCCCAGGGAGGAGTATACAGGATTGTGTGTCAGGTGAGAGCACTGGGCCCGGCTCACCTTGATAAGGTCACCCAGCATCTGGTTGGCCTCCACATAGGCCTTCTTGACCTCCTTAAACTTGGATCCGAGTCCCATGCTGTGGGCCTGGAAGTGCAGGTTGGTGTACTGGCCCCCCGGGATCTCATTTTCATACACGTCTGAGTTGCCAGACTTCATGGTAGCCGTGCAGTCAAAAGCTGAGTACAGTCCCCGAGCCCCCTCCCAGTACTCGCTGTAGTCGAACACGCGCTCCAAAGGCACCTCTGCAGGGAGGCCAAAATCAGGAATGCTTGGCAAGGTACTAGGCCCCCAGGGTTCCTCCCAGGACCACGGGGTACTTAGGTTCTAGGTGTGCCAGACTATACTGGGCTGGTAGTGGCTGTAATTGTGAGGGGCATGGCCATGGGCTGCCCTCTTCCTACCTGTGTCCAGGGGAGTCCCTCTGGTACAGGCAACCAAGGCACCCATGCTGGGCTGTGAGGTCATCCCAGACATGGAGTCAGCTGCCACATCCACCACATCAGCCCCAGCCTGGGCACAGGCCAGCATAGCTGCCACACCTGCCCCTGACGTGTCATGGGTGTGGATGTGCAGTGGGAGGTCAGGGAAGCGGTCCCGGAGAGAGCTGACCAGCATGGTACAGGCTGCTGGCTTCAGCAGCCCTGCCATGTCCTGGAGAAAGTAGGGAGGAGAGACATGGTAAGGAGAGGCCTGATGTGGGGGACATTATGGGTGGTACAGAGAGCAAGAGATGGGCAAGTGGCCTGGCACCTTGATGCACAGGATGTGGGTGCCAGCTCGCACCAGCTCCTCAGCCAAGCCCATGTAGTACTGCAGTGAGTATTTAGTACGGCTGGGGTCAGCCACATCGCCTGTGTAGGAAATGGCAGCCTCCACCACAGCCCCAGCACTGCCTGCCGCCTCCATGCCGAGCAGCATGTTGGGCAAGTAGTTGAGGGAGTCAAAGATCCTGAAGACGTCCATGCCGTTCTCTTTGGCCACCTCACAGAACCTGAGTGGGTGAGAAACAAGGAGTGAGCCCCACCTACTCCCTGCATTTCCTTCTCTAGTTCCTGGCCTGGCTACTCTACAGCCCCTAGGGATTGAAGTCTGGCCTGACAGAGGAATAGGAGCCCAACTGTGTGGACAGGGCCTTTTCCAGGGCAGCCTGGGCAGGCAGAATCACCACCGATGCATCCGTACCGGCAGAGCTGCATCCTGTGGTAGTCAAGTGCCATGTAGTCATTGGCGTGCCCGGGGCTGGAGGATCAGCGGGGATTCTCTGCTTTGCAAGCAGTAGGGCCGTGGGGGAGCACCCAGGACAAGGAGTCCCGAGGCCTGAGTTTGAACCCCAGCTCTGTACTGAGTGGCCCTCACAAGGTAACCACTGGCTCATGAGTGATCTAGAAGCCCTTTGGGTTCTGCCATAACAATTCTGCACTTCATGACACTTCCAAACAGCAGTCCCGCAGGGTATGGCCACACACACTTGGTATTTAGCCCGCTGTGGGGAGCATAGGCCATTGCCCTGTGGCCTGGCACCCCAAAAGCCCCACCAGCAGTGTCTGCCCGCCCTGTCCCAGGCTCACTTGAAGACTACGTTGTCGGGATAATTGGTGTAGCCCACAGCATTGGCCCCCCGCAGCAGCATCTGGAATGGGACGTTGGGGATGAGCTCCCGGAGCTCCTGCAGCCGGCGCCAGGGGCACTCATATAGGAAGCGCATGGCGACATCAAATGTGGCCCCTGCCAAAGGATGGAGAGAGGTCTAGGTCAGCTCCACACGCTGCAGCTCTGTGGCCTGAGCCTCCAGCCCCTGCTCCCTCGTGCTCCCAGCCGGTGCTCAGGGTGCTCAGGCCCACGTGTCCCTTCCCTGGGTGCCTGACTCCTTATCTCTCAGGTCCTCCTCCCCTGCTCCTCTGTGCCGTGACTGTGCCTGCAGCATGCTCAGCCCAGCTCCTGGATCTTGGCTCTGAAGCTGGTTTTGTGCCTTCTTCAGTCTTTGGTTTTCTTTCTCTCCCTCTCTCCCCCTCCCCCTCCGCTCTCTCTGTAACGGGTATTGAACCGCAGGGTGCTTCAGGGCTGGGGTTGAGGCTCAGTGTAGAGCACTTGCCTAGCAAGTGAGGCACTGGGTCCAGGCAACGGAGACCTACTGAGGACCACATGGACGGAAAAGAGGATCCCTAAGATCAGCACGGCATATAAATAAATGAATAAAATAAAGGTCTATCAACAACCCAAAATATATATAAGAATGTTTTTTAAAATAATTTGAAACAGGCCTGGCTAAGTTGCCCAGGCTGGCCTAGAACTTGCAACCCTCCTGCCTCAGCCTCCTGAAAGCTGGGATCACAGGCGTGCACTACTGCAGCTGGCTTCTTTGGTCTTCCTCAGTATCCCCAGAGGCTTGCACCTTTAGGGCCGGCTACTCAAGGGGCCTGATTTTTGCCAGCACTGCCCAACACCCAAGTCCTCCTTTAGCCTACCTCCCCAGTTCTCCATGCTGAAGAGCTTGTTGAAGCTGTGGGCAACATAGGGTGCGATCTTTTTTAGATCATGAGTGCGCACACGAGTGGCCAGCAGTGACTGGTGGGCATCCCTGAATGTCGTGTCCATCAGCAGCAGCCCCTGGTGGTTCCGCACAGCTCGAGCAAAGCCCTCTGGCCCTTCCCGCAGAAGGATGTCTCTGAAACCAGCTGGGGGTGGGCCTAGGGCATACAAAGACAGTAATGCCCATCCTGCAGATGACAATCTCTCATATTCCCCATGAGTTGGCAGAATGGATCTCTTACCTATGGGCACCGCAGGGACAACAGGGTCCGTGGGACTGGGGCTGGCTTTGACAGGGATTGGGGTGGTGGGGCCATTCACCATGACGTGTCCTGGGGGAGAGAGCAGGCAGTACGTCAGGGAAGGCTGGGAAGAGGTTGATTCGGGCCATGTGAGTAGGTGGGCTCAGGGATGGGGGCATTCCTCCAGGACACCCGGTTCTCCAGCTGCCCCTGTCCTCTCCAAAGCCACGGACTCCTGGGTCCAGGCAGTGGAGACCTATTGAGGACCACATGGATGGAAAAGAGGATCCCTAAGACGAGGAGCAAGGAAGATGCAGGATCAGAACAAGGGCAGGGCTGAGGGGCAGAGGGCCAGAGGCAGGCATGGGGAGCGGGGAGGGGAGAGGGCAGTGGGGCGGACCGAGGTAGTGCAGCAGCTTCTGGGCCCGGTTCTGCACAGGCCGCAGCTGGAATAACTCAGGATTCTCATCGATGAACTGCGTGTCCACGGTGCCTGCCAGGAACTGCTGGTTGTTGAGCACATTCTGCAGGAAGGGGATGTTGGTCTGTAGGACAGAGGTGGGTAGGAGGGTGTCACCATGCAGCATGGACAGGGCAGAAAGAAAAGAGGAGGCTGCAGGTGCCATCCTGGAGCAGCACAGCTTCAGCGCCCGCCCCCCCGCACCCCACACATTCTGGAAGACTGCCTAAGCTGCCAGTGGCTGAACCCACTCCCTCCATCCTATTCACCCAGAGCATGTGCTGAATGCCACCCCCTCCTGCTGCTTCTGGGGTCTGGCAACCTGCATTTCCTCCCTTCCCATGACCGAGAACTGGCTCAGCCTTTTCTACAGCAGCACGGAAGGAGCACCACCCTCTCACCCCGACCAGCCACTCTTCTTGAAAGAGGTCCCTACCTCTGACACACCCACGCTCTTGACACTCTTTAGTCTTCCTGGCTAAATCTAGTGGGCAGCCTCCCACCCTCCTCCTGCTAACGACTCCCACCTTGATGCTCTCTCCCTGGCCTGCAGGGACGTCCTGTTCTTCTGGTCTCCTCTTCCTGCTCAGGCCTACCCACTCTGTGTGGCCTTGTCCTGGGCCTCAGGTTCTAGTCAGTCTTTGTCTCCAGGGCCTACACCCAAAGGTGGAACTGTCTCCTGGCACCTACTTATACATCCCTCATGGGACTCAGAAGTCCAAACCCAGGTTCCCTCCTGCTGGGTGCCTTGCCAGCTACCTGCTATGCTCTGTCAACTGCTACCTGCTCGATCAACCCCCTCTTGCATGTCACTGATCAAGCTTGATGACTCTCCTGTGGCCATCTCTGGACTCCATGACCTCATGTCCAGCTCAGGCCACACCTTCCAATGGGTCTCCTCATCATGGCCACCTTTGCCACACAACCGAGCCTCCTGCTCTCACACTCCACATCTTCGAACCTGTCTAGAAAGCTTTTCCTGGATGTCTATACTGGAAAAGCCACTTTGTCCTTCCCTCCCACCTCTCAGCAGAGCACAGTGATCTCCTTTTAGTAAGTTCTGGGATCAGCTGTTGGGAAACCCATCCTTTGGCCTTACCATTTTTTGCTGGTCTGCATCCCTCACTCCCTTGTCTCCTCTTCGGAGACAAGGAGGCTATCTGAGCTGCTTAGATCTCTGTGCCAGGTGCTTCTCTAAATAGCTGGGGCAGGGTGAGTCACATGGGGACCCCAGGAGACCCCATGACTGTGAGGCGGGTCTCCGAGAGCATGTCCTGTAGCCACATGGCTACATGAAGGAGGCATCTCCATGTCTTACCCTTTCAGGATTTCTATTGCAATCCTCAACAGGAGCTTGAGGCCCAGCTTGAACCCTTCTGAGAGAGAACCTGTTACCCAAGGGCTCCTAGCACCTAGAGGCCTGGACAGGAAAGGCTCCCTCCTCTACCAGCATCACTGGGCAACACTGATCATCGCAGGGTGGGGCCAGCCATCAGTGCCTCATCCCTGTCTGGTCTGATGGGTCCACCTGTCTGCCCCCAGCGTAGTAGCCCCTTCCCAAAACAGGGACAGTTCAAGTGCTCCAAGGGCACTTGTGAGAGGAAACATCCTGTTAAACCATTTAAAGAACTTAGAGCCCAAATAAGGGTAAGGACGCTCAGAGGCCTCCCCTGTCCTCCAGCCCCTGCATTTCCCTTGAAATGAATCGCTCCACTTTGTATTTATTGGACGGTGGTCATTCCCTCTGTACTGGAAGCTCCATGGGGACAGGAACCAGGCACATCTGGCTCCCAGCACAGGGTGGCAAATGGCAGATGCTCGTAAACACGCATGCTCAGGGTAAATGGAAACACTTTTGATGGGGAGAAGAAAAACAAAGGACTATCGGATGCCACCACACATCAGAGGCGACATAGCTAGAATCCAAACCTTCATTTACAAATGCAACAGCTGAGGCCCAGGCAGTGGCCACAGTGCACCCCGGCTTCTGATAGTTAAGCTCCTCAAGCTGCAGGTTTTCCTTCCTCTCACCCCTACCAAGCGCTTAAGTACCTTCAATTAATACCCTCAGTCTACGAGGGGAAACTGTTTCAGTGGTTAAGTAATTGCCCAAGGCCACACAGCTGTGCCGGGCAGGGCTGGAATTCCAGTCTCTGGTTTCCCAGAGTTCCCGCTACCAGCCTCCCCTCCCCACCATGGAGGGCGGGGATCGGGTCTGTAGGAAGAGAAGGGGGCACCTCGGCAGTCTGAGGACGCCTTGAAGCCTGTGGGAGGGGATGACTCCCCATGCTCCCCAATTGGTCACACCGGTCGTGCGGCGGGCACAAACTAGGACCAGGGTGCTTGACCTGGTTCCAAGACCTCAGCCAGTCCATCCAAACCCCAGCTTCCTGCGGGCACCTAGCACCTGAGCTCGTCCCAGGACCGCCCTCCCAGGGACACAGCCCGGCGAGAGCAGAGGAGGAGGGCGGGGCTGCGGCGCGGAAAGGACCATTGACGCACAGCTTCAAACAGCGTGCCACCGCCGGCCTGCTGGGAAACGGCGCCGCGCAGACCAATCCGGCCGGAGGCGGAGGCCGGTTGGCTCCGAGCGCCGGGCAAAGCGGGACGGACGGGCGGGGCAACGAGAGGGCGGGGCAGGCGGCGGGGCGGGGCGCGGCGCCTGCCCGAGGCCAAGCCCTCGCGGCCCCACCCCGCAGCAACCCTGCCGGGGGCGCCTCCCTAGCCCCCCCAGGGCCCCGTGCCTGTTGGGGACCCTCCACGTGACTCGGTGATGCAGAACGGTTATGACCTTCAGCGTGTGTCTGTGAACGCGAGGGTCTCAGCAACAGCGCGGGTTTGCACCCGGCCCTGCCCGTGGGTGCGGGGAAGTGTGGGTGTGTGGGCATATGTGGGCGTGTTGGGGAGGGTGCCCAGCGACATGTGACAAAGACCCGTTTCTGGGAGACGGTGAAGGGACCCGCGAGCTGGCGCTTTGTCTGGCTAGCTGCAGAGTGAGGTTCGCGCCGCGGCGGCGGGCGCCCGAGCGGTGCAGGATGCCGGGGCGCAAGGGGGGCCGGGGGCGCGCGCACCAGTGCCGGGGTGAGTGCGCTGCGGCAGCGCCTAGGGGCAGCGCGGCAGGCCCGCGCTGGCCTGGGCCTCGGGCGTGACTGGGCACCACCCGTGGGTGCTGCAGTGGCTGCGTGTCCCGGTGACCTCCGGAGCCGGCCCGCGGCCGGGTGGATCCCCGTGCACCCCTCCCCGTCCTCCTTCCACGTGCGTGTCCACGGCGCGCGCGTCCGCTGGCGCGCACCCGCCTGCCTGTAGCCGCTACCGCCGCCGCGGACCGCGCCGGGAAAAGGTGCCGGGAACCGAGTAAGCCGGGGCTGTGGGCCCGAGCGCCATGGGCCGTAGGGCGCGCGGCAGGCGGCCCAGGCCTCGCCCCGGAGGGAGAGCGGCCTGGAGACGGCCAGGGCCGGCTGGACCCGTGGGGGTGCCGGCCCGCGCCCCCTGAGCGACTGACACCAGGTGAGGGGGCCGCGGGACGCAGCGCTGGGCCGGGCCGGGGAGGGACCACGGGCCACGCCAGGGATCAATCGGGAGCCTTTCCTGGCGCGGAAAGGGATGGCGCGGAGGGAGGAAGGGGTTGGCGATTCCAGGGGACGCCAGGAAAAGGAAGTTCCGGGACCCTCCCTGCTCTCGGCCCACCGCCGCTTCCTGCCTCATGCCTCACCTTGTCCCCAGCGCCAGGACTCCCCCTAACTGCTTGGGAAATGTGACCTTTACTCCGGGGGGCCTGGCCCTGCAGCCCCAGCCTTCCTTCATCCCTGGGGACCCCCTTGAGCTTCTAACCCAATCTTCCCAGGCCAGACTCTGGAAGCTGGCTCTTGGGACTGTGCCCTGGGCACAAGTGGGCACTTGCACCAGCCCCACCTGTGCCTGGGCTGCGGCCCTTCCCTACAGGGCGCTCACCATGGCCCCACCACTACTGCTGCTGCTGCTGGCCAGTGGAGCGGCTGCCTGTCCGCTACCCTGCGTCTGCCAGAACCTGTCCGAGTCCCTCAGTACCCTTTGTGCCCATCGAGGCCTGCTGTTTGTGCCACCCAACGTGGACCGGCGCACAGTGGAGCTGCGGCTAGCTGACAACTTCATCCAGGCCCTGGGACCACCTGACTTTCGCAACATGACTGGGCTGGTGGACCTGACGCTGTCTCGGAATGCCATCACCCGCATTGGAGCCCGCGCCTTTGGGGACCTGGAGAGCCTGCGATCCCTACACCTGGACGGCAACAGGCTGGTGGAGTTGGGCAGCGGCAGCCTGCGGGGGCCTGTCAACCTGCAGCACCTCATCCTCAGTGGCAACCAGCTGGGCCGCATCGCGCCAGGGGCCTTCGATGACTTCCTGGACAGCCTGGAGGACCTGGACCTGTCCTACAACAACCTCCGACAGGTGCCCTGGGCCGGCATCGGTGCCATGCCTGCCCTGCACACTCTCAACCTGGACCACAACCTCATCGATGCGCTGCCCCCGGGCGCCTTTGCGCAGCTTGGTCAGCTCTCCCGCCTCGACCTCACCTCCAACCGCCTGGCCACGCTGGCGCCCGACCCGCTCTTCTCCAGGGGGCGCGACGCGGAGGCCTCGCCCGCTCCTCTGGTGCTGAGCTTCAGCGGGAACCCGCTGCACTGCAACTGTGAGCTGCTGTGGCTGCGGCGGCTGGCCCGGCCGGATGACCTGGAGACCTGTGCCTCCCCGCCGGGCCTGGCTGGGCGATACTTCTGGGCAGTGCCTGAGGGCGAGTTCTCGTGTGAGCCGCCCCTCATTGCCCGCCACACACAGCGCCTCTGGGTGCTGGAGGGACAGCGGGCCACGCTGCGGTGCCGGGCCCTTGGTGACCCTGCACCCACCATGCACTGGGTTGGCCCCGACGACCGGCTGGTTGGCAACTCTTCCCGAGCCTGGGCCTTCCCCAACGGAACCCTGGAGATTGGGGTGACAGGTGCTGGGGACGCAGGAGGCTACACTTGTATCGCCACCAACCCTGCTGGTGAGGCCACTGCCCGAGTAGAGCTCCGGGTGCTGGCCTTGCCCCATGGCGGGAACGCCAGTGCTGAGGGGGGCCGCCCAGGGCCCTCAGACATTGCTGCCTCTGCTCGAACTGCTGCTGAGGGCGAGGGGACTCTGGAGTCTGAGCCAGCTGTGCAAGTGACAGAAGTGACTGCCACCTCAGGGCTGGTGAGCTGGGGCCCTGGGCGGCCAGCTGACCCCGTGTGGATGTTCCAAATCCAGTACAACAGCAGCGAAGACGAGACCCTCATCTATCGGTGAGGACACACCCTTCCCGTGTCCTCAGTCCCTGCTTGGCCCCCACCCGGCCCTTCCGCCGACCCTGCGCCCTTGGCTTCTGAGCCCCGAGGAGCCCAGCATCTGAGGGTGCGGGGCTCAGATATGGCTGCTTACATGACAGCTGTACGCTGCTGGTGGCCTGGTTTGTGGCTTGGCCGTGGCTGGGTGCGTGGCCTGGGCCACACACGCACATTATTTTTGCTCCTGCTAGTATCCCCCCCCACCCATCCTCCTCTGCTTGCCTGCGACCTAAGTCAGTCCAGTCACACACCAGTCTGTCCCTTGGCACCGCCTCCTGTCCTGCACGTGCCCGTCCTTGTTTCTTTGCCATCTTGAGGGAACACAGAAGGCCCATGTGGCTCAGGTCCCGGGGAGCTCTCCAGAGCTGGGCAGGGAGTGAGGGTTTTTAGGAGCCGTGAGGTCCTGGCTATGCGAGGTGGGAGCTGGGCTGCGCCTGACCCTGGGGCTCTGACCACCTGTCTTTCTTGCAGGATCGTCCCAGCCTCCAGCCAGCACTTCCTGCTAAAGCACCTGGTGCCGGGTGCTGACTACGACCTCTGCCTGCTGGCCCTGTCACCTGCCACTGGACCCTCTGACCTCACGGCCACCAGGCTATTGGGCTGTGCCCACTTCTCCACACTGCCAGCCACGCCCTTGTGCCATGCCCTGCAGGCCCATGTGCTGGGCGGGACCCTGACTGTGGCTGTGGGGGGTGTTCTGGTGGCTGCCTTACTGGTCTTCACTGTGGCCTTGCTGGTTCGGGGCCGGGGAGCTGGGAACGGCCGCCTCCCCCTCAAGCTCAGCCACGTCCAGTCCCAGACCAATGGAGGTCCCAGCCCTACACCCAAGAGCCACCCACCGAGGAGCCCCCCACCCCGCCCCCAGCGCAGCTGCTCCCTGGACCTGGGAGATACAGGCGGGTGCTACGGGTATGCCAGGCGCCTGGGAGGGGCCTGGGCCCGGAGGAGCCACTCTGTACATGGGGGGCTGCTTGGGGCTGGGTGCCGGGGTGCGGGAGGCAGTGCAGAGCGGCTGGAGGAGAGTGTGGTGTGACAGGAGGGCGGCTTGTGCCCTGAGGAATGAGCAGCGAGGCCAGGGGCCCAGGGCAGTGGCCACCTGGCCCAGTGAGCAGCACTGCCAGGGGACTGTCCCTGGTTTTTATCCTTGGTACCTCAGGCTTCCCATGTACTTGGAGGGACAGGGAGCCCTTCCCTTGGTTCTGACCTCCAGACTGGGGTAAAGGGACAGGTCCCTCTGACAGGTGCTCAGAGCCACCAAGGCAGGGGTTGCAGCCACCAAGTGGGCGTCTTGTTTCTATTTATAATAAAATTGTTGGGGACACCTCAGTGCTGGTCTCTGGTCCCATCCTGAGAGGGAAGGTGGAAGGGAGGGGATGAGGGGCTGGTAGAGGCACAGACCAGGCGGAGGTGACCCTGCAGCCTGAGCCTCCACTGCCCAATTCGTCCTCTGGGCCAGTCCAGTGCTGGGCTCTGGTTTCTTCTGACCGGACGGGCGACAGCCTGAGCTTGTCTGTCAGTACGGAGGGTACCCTTCCCAGCAGGCGTGTGTAGGACAATCCCTGGTGCGTGAAGCCCGGGCACGGGCACTGGCACTGTCCCAGCAGTGCTAGCATGCCTGGGAGTGGCAGCGGGACTGTGGGTAGCAGCCCGAGGGTGGGTGGAGGGCACAGCCCTTCTGGGCAAAAGAATGGTAACATTCTCCTGAGCACAACTCAGTAAAATACCCCCATAGTCCTGTTGGGGACAGCCATGCCTGCCTTCTCCTGGGCACCTTCTGGACTTATGAAGTGCCACCCTCAAGGGCTGGGAGTCCCACTGGCAGCCGTCACCCGGAGACCTCCAGAAGGTCCTGTCATTCCCCAGGCCCCAAGGAGATGGCACCCCCCAGCCACTCCTCTGAGGTCCCCATGGCTGTGCCCTCAACGTTCCTGGAAAGATGACCCCCGAGCTGCCTGCCTGTGGGGGTGGAGGTGGGGATGTGCTGGAGATGGGGCTCACACCCCAGAACCCCTTTCTGCTTCCTTTGCTGGGGATCCCACGGGCCCCGGTGGCTGCTGCTCGGCACAGCTCTGGCAGCACTGACTGGCCTCCGCGTCCTGGGCGTGAGTCCTTCCTAGCGTGCAAGAGCCTGCTGGTGCTCCAGGAGGATGCAGCAGGCGGCCCCGGGGCCATGGCAGGGCCTGGCTGGTGCCAGGCACAGCAGAGGGGCTGCACGGGCACACCGGTGCTCCTGGTGACAGCCAAGGACACCGGCATTCCAGGCCAAGCTGGTGGGTATCCGTCCTCCCAGGCCCAGGACACGGGCCTGAGGTGGCCAAGAGATGATTTAACCCATTATGCCCCAGCATGCCGTTTGCTGTGTACCTATCCAAACATTATACGTGCCGTTTATAATCACTTTCTTGCTCAATTTAAATGTTTCGAGGTGTTCTATATATGGGGCACTGGGACATGATGGGTTAAATGGAAATGAGGTCCTCAGCAAAGTGGGGGGCAAGGAGGGAGGGGGAGCACTGGGCCAGGTGGGAGGGCAGGGGAGACCAAAGCATAAGGCCGAAAGCCAGGCTCCTTCAGAAGGCCCAGAACGTGGCAGGGACCAATGGCCTGGGCTAGTGGGGATCTGGGAAAGACACAGGCACCCCAGGAACCAGAACCCCTTACCTTGCTGCCACCCCACGGCCATGGTCCCCAGAGTCCCTTTCTCCACCCTCCTCCAGTGAGGGGAGGAGGTTCCTGGTACTTAGGGGTATAGGGCAGAGTAGAGTCCTTGGCCCAGGGGACCTGGGGTCAGAGGAATGGGGACCAACCACGGCCAGCCACGACAGCAGCAGCAGCACAGGGAGAGCCCGGCCTCACTCCCACCGCAGTCACAGGAGGCAGGGCCTCACGGCCCCTCCCAACAGGGTCAGCAGGGAAAGCCCAGCCCAAACATACTGGGAACGCGTCACGCTGCCCTGGGTGTGGGACGCGGAGCCCTGATGCAGCCCCTGTGGAAGGGAGCGACCCCCGGCGTCTGCCAACACTTCCCTCTCAGGTGGCCAAGGCCATTTTCCAAAAGTCTCTGCCCCCTGGGGCTACCGCCAGGACATGCCACGGGGTCCTGCGGAGAGGTCGCCCGAGGGGACAGCAGCTGGTCCCGCAGGAGCCCTCAGGAGCCCAGGAGCCAGCCCAGCCACAGTCTGTGGCTGCAGACCATCCTTGGGAACCCCCAAAGAGAAGAAAGGGATTCCCACAGGGGCTGAATGCCCAGCCCTGTCCCCATGCTGATGGCAGCACCCACAGATACGTGGGTAGGTGCTGGCTTCAAGGACAGGACTGCTTCTTGGCTGTGAATTCATCCCTAGCTCTAGACACTAGTAACAAACAGCCCAACAAGGAGGGAAGGCATTTTGGATCCTCGCTGGCAGACAACCACCCTGGTCAGAGGCAGGTCACGTGCCCCTGCCTGGCCACCAGCCCCGCTCAGCCATACTCCTTGGCTGTCCCTGAAGCACCCACCATTCTGCAGACTCGGCTGAAATGCAGAGGGCTGGGGGATGGCGGAGGCCTCCCCCTCCTCCACACAGGGCTGGGCCCTCGCCCAGGAGCTCGTTTTCTTGAAATTAAGAATTTCCCGGGGGGAAGCTTGTTCAAAACACAGGCTTTGGGGCCTCTACCCAAACCTGTGGGGTGGGAATTTCCACAGGGGCCGGGAGCACTGAGCACGCACTGCAGGTGGCTCTGGCCTGAGAGCAAGAGGTGGTGTGGAGCAGCCAGAAGGAGCCACCTGATGAGGGCCCTCATGCCTGCACCAAAAGGGCCCGAGGGTCTGAGCGCAGCCAGGAGAGTCACCCTGTCACCAGGGCTGAGGGAGCCACAGGCCTCCACAAAGCAAAGGCCAGGGAAAGGCAAGCAGTTCTGTGCCCACCCCAAGCAAGGACATAAGTGACCATGGGACCCTTGGAGGGACAGGCACAAGACAGGAAGAAGCTATAGGCTCTCACCTTCACACCTCGAACGCGGAACTCGGCCAAGGCTCTGCTCATCTTAGTGGCAGCCGTGGGGTGGTCTTTGCCGTGGGCGATGACTTTGACCAGCAGGGAATCATAGTGGGGTGAGATGACAGCCCCTTGGAAGGCAGAGGCATTGTCCAGGCGGATGCCCATGCCCTCTCCACTGCGGAACACCTGTGGCGGGGGAGCAGAGGTCAGCGGCGGGGGCAGAAGCTGCAGTCGGTGGCTCCCTGCATGCGGGGCACCCAGAGCTGAGGTCGAGGGTGCTGCAGGGAAACCACGGCTCTGACCTCTCAGTTTTGCAAACCTGGGACTCACCCCTTCTCCGAGTCCCACAGTCACTGCTGCCTCAGAGGAGCTGGGAGGGGACGAAGGACGTACCGTAGGACTGTGTGCACAGCCCAGCCAGAGGCGCCAGATCCCACCCACCTCCCAGGGCCTGCCTGACCAACCCTCCCGCCTTCTGGATCCCCTCATGTGTCCACGTTCATGCCAGGAACAGGTATGGAGCATCCACACCAGCAAGAGCAGCAAGTCCCTGCCTGCATGGGCACCCGGACAGAAAGGGACCAGTGACAGGGCCGCTGTGGGGCAATGAGAGGAGAGGCGGAGCTCAGGCTTTGGGCCCGCAGGGTGACAGGGAGACCACCACACAGTCCCTTCCTTCCTGGAGGGGAGGAGAGAAGGAAGAGCGGCAGAGAGGAAGCAGACGAGGGGACAGAGACACCAAGGAAACACGCCCAACAGGGCAAGACAGGCACAGGCCAGCCCCCGTGGCCCAGCCCCAGCAGAAGAGAGCAGGATGGGTCAGGAAGAGGAAGGACATGGTGGAGGGCGAGGGCCAGGGACAGGCTAGGGGGCTGGGGCTGGCTGACATGTGCACACAGGAGGACAGGGCCCTGGGTTCATGTGAGGGAAGGCCGGGAGGCTGGGGACCCCACAGCACCACCCTTCTGCTCCTGAGGGGCACCGGCCTGGGCTCCATGGAAAGGAACTTCATAAAATATTCAGGTGGACCCAGCCGAGCGCAGGAACCGCCAGCTAAAAATACCCTGCGGTGAGGAGCGGAGCAGCGGGCCCAGCGGTAAGGTAGAGGGAGGTGGCTGGAGGTGGGTCCCTGGGCTGCCCCTCTGCGGCTGAGGGCAAAGGAGGCCTGGGGCTCCCCGGGAGCAGGCAGGCAGTTCCCAGGAGGCCACAGATCTGTGCTCTCAGGATCCCACTGCAACAGCCTCTCCCAGCCTCCGCCACCACCTGTCCTAAAGCCCAGCATCTGGCTTGTCCCTGCCAGCCCCACCCAGCCCAGGCCACAGGCCCCAGACTCCAGAGCAGATGCTGTCCCCAGGGCCAGTGCACAGGACACAGTGGGCCAGGAGCAGGTCAGGCCAGACCCTCGGGGGAGGGAGGGAGATGGCTCTCGGGGACCCACTGGCTGGGCTTCGGCTCTGTGAGGAGAAGATCCAGGAACCTCGGCCCTGGACTCTGCCTCCCGGCCCTCACTGCCACCTCCATCTGCTGACTTCCCTCGACCCCTCTGGGAGGCCCCCTAGCTTGGCTCACCCCCGACGGGGTTCCCAGTCATTTGTTCCCATTCCCACCTGGGGTTCTGCCTTGCCAGCCACTGCCCGGCCCCAGCGTGAAGGCAGGACAGAGGCCAGTGGCTGTCACATGAAGCTTTGGACTCTTTGGCTGGGACATGAGGTGCCCGGCCTTCTCCTGGCCCGTGCACAGGGGGGCTCCTTCCCAGCATGCCCCCTTCCTCCCGGATAGCGCTGACTCCCACGTGCTCTAGGCCGGGGTCAGGCCAGCCGAGGGGGGATTTTCCTGAACTGCCAGGCCCTGGGCACCTGAGAGGCAGTGAGAATCTTCAATAGGGCTGAAACTGGCATCCGCTCCGGAAATGTCGCCTACCTCGATGCGGCCAGTGTCGGGCTGGAAGCTGCGCGCAGGGTCCTCGGTTGTGACCCGGCACTGGATGGCACAGCCATTGATGCGGATGTTCTCCTGCCGCAGGCCCAGGTCAGGCAGGCTCCTGCCCTCGGCCACGTGGATCTGGGCGTGGACCAGGTCCACACTGCAGGTGGGGAGCGCCAAGAGAGAAGGGGAGCATGAGGCAGGGCGGGGCCGGGGCACCGAAGCAAGAGGCGAGGCCCACACACTCTTCCCTCCTGAGCGGGCAGCTGCTCCAACCCCTGGCCTCACAGCTTGGCACCATGACTGCAGTCTCAGCTGGAGAGTGGCAGCCAGAGGGGCCTCGGGAACACAGGGTCCCCCCTCCCCACTCCACCCGTCCTGCGCTCTACCTTCCTCTTCCCCAGTCACCATCTCCCGCCTCCTGCCCTTGATGCTCAGATCTGAAGCCTGGCTCGGCCCGTCATCGCCTCAGGAGGCCCCATTCCTGGAGCCATAGGTGCTACTTTGGGTGGGTGAGTGGGGGACAGTCTGCAAAATGGGAACCGGGGCAGGTGAGACCTGATGGGTAGATACTGTGTTCCCAGGCCTGCACCCCCACTGGGCCTGTGCCCAAGGCCCCTCCAGAAGATTTTGGGGTGCAAAGCTTCTGCATTGCACGGCTTTAGGAGCCGAAGCTGACTGAGTACATGCTCCTAAGGACAGTAGCAAATCCAAGTGGAACAGCCGTTTAAAAACTCTCAAGGTTTTAAATTTATTGTCACTGAGGCTTGTGGTAAGGACAGCCTGGAAACTACGCTGGCCGACTTTGCCTGTGTGGGGAGTTGCCTGCTGCACCACTTCGGAGCAGTGACAGAGATCACCATGAGCTTCAACAGCCGCGGGGGAGGGCCCCGTGCTCATCCCATGCTGGAGCCACATTCCCATTGGGGGAGGAGATCAAGGGTCAGAGAGGCTGCCGCTAACCCAAGCTCCACACAGGACCAGGGGAGCCTCAGCTCCAGTCTGTCTGGCACAGAACCCTGGCTACATAGTAAACAAAGCCTTTCATCCTCGACAGAGCTCCAGGCTGGCTCAGGATGACAGCTCTCGGCAGCAGGATGAGGAAGACCCAGGGCCAGGACACAGCTGGAGCACCGACCTTGCCTCTAACTCTGGCCTCCCAGGAATCTGGGGGCCTCTCTGGGCAAAGGTACCCCTTTCTCAGGTGCAGCAGGGGCTGGGGAAGGAACTGAAGTCAGAAATGTTCCAAGGTGAGGTAGACTGGCCCAAAGCCAAGGTTTAGGACTTAGTGGCTCATCACATGCATCTCGAAACAACGAAACATCTCGAAACAGCCATTTTAACTGTTGTTTATAGAACAGCGTATAATCCAAGCTGTGGGACAGCAGAGCCAGACTACCCAGAGCCAGGAGGCACCGGGCGGCTTCTCCTGATCAGCTGATCCTGATAAACACAGAGCTCGCCTCCCCAGGGACACAACACAGATCTGGGCAAAATGCTACAGGCACACCCTGACCACAGGAGCCAAACACACCCTCACCACCGAGGACAGCAGGACTCAGCGACCACAGGCCAGAATCTCAACCTCCTTGAGCCTCGGCTTCCTCGGCTGAAAGATGGGGCCTTGGGCTCCCTCCTCACAAGGCAGCCACGAGGGTTCCATGAGGTGTCCAGCACGGCCCCTGGCCGTGAGCATCCTGATTTTGAGGGGAGGGCCTCTGACTCACTTGTATTTGCTCCTTTGTATTAATTTTTGCAATCACAATGTAATGCTTTTTTAAAGTATTTTTTAGTTGTTGCTGGACCTTTATTTTATTTATTCCTGTGTGGTGCTGAGAATGGAACCCAGTCCTCACACATGCCAGGCAGGCGTACTTCCACAGCGCCAAGCCCAGCCCACAGCCTGATCCTTTTATAAGAACTCAAGTCCCTGGGTCCCCCGCTGCTGACCAAAGTGGAAAGCGAGAGTCCCTCCCTGCTCCGCGCCCTGTCCCAGCTCACTCGGTGATCTCCTCGGTGACCGTGTGCTCCACCTGCAGGCGGGAGTTGACCTCGATGAAGTAGTGCTTGCCGTGTCTGTCCACGAGGAATTCCACGGTGCCCGCGTTCTCGTAGCCCACCTGTGGGGGTGGCAGGTGGGTGGCTGGGTGGACAGGCAGGGGAAGGGTGCACCCTGGAGTGGCGTGAGGCTGGGGCCCGCCCTCTGGCTCGCCCAAGAACACAACAACCTGCAGGGACCCTGTCCGAGAGACAGATGGCCATCCAGGTTCCAGGACAGTCCCCTGAGGACACCGCCGGGCTCCAGAGCTGGCATGGTACAGGTCAGCAGAGCCCTGCCCGCCCCAGACAGGGTGCCCTTGCTCTCACTGGCTGCCACCTCGGCTAGTGGCTCCACTCCTGTCCCTTCACACCTGGAGACCTGGGCTTCCCAGAACCCACTTCCCAGTGTCACCAGCCTGGTCACCATCTCAAGAGATGTCAGTCGAGAGGCACCCCAGATGATGCTCCTGCCTCAGACTGAGCCTGCTCGTCCTTCTTCTGGTCCTGCTAGGACCACAGCAGACTCCACAGGCCCCGGCCTGCTGGGGTCAGTAGCATAAACCCATCAACCAGGGCACAGCTGAGATGACTCCTCCCCAAGGCCACTGATCCCGGCACTCTGCCCAGCTGACCTAGCCGTGGCCTCCTGATTGCTGTGGCTGGAGCCTCGCAGCACAGTGAGGCTCTGCCTCCATTCTGGGGAAGGTGACAGCGACGCTGTCTGGGCCCGGGCTGCCCAGGAGTCTGAGGTGGCTGGAACCTGGGAGAGTGAACACACCTGGGGCTGAGGCCCAGGAACCTGGGAGGACAGGACCCCTGCCACACAGCTACCGGCCCAGGCTAAGGGCCAGTACAGATAGCTGGCCGCCTCCTATCTCCCCCAGGACCCGCTCCCCAGAGCTCCGGGTGGGCAGAGGGACCTCCATGAGGAAATGACCATGACAGCTGCGGAGCAGACAGTGAGGGCAGCGAGGAGGAGTGCACAGAACCCATGGACCTTCTCCGGGGGTCAGCAGGCGCCAGAGAGGCGGTGTCCAGGGGACCGAGGACGGGGCAGCACTGGCTCCTCCCCTTCTCGGGCCAGCAGACTCCCCCTCCCTCAGCAGGTGGCTGGCCTCCCTGCACCCCTGCAGGCTGCCCACAGGGGACCTCCAGCGCCCCGAGGCCTCACCTGCTTGGCAAGTTTGACGGAGTCGCTGGTGAGCCGCGACCGGAGCTGGGGGTCCAGGTGGGCAGCAGGGGCGATCTCCACCACCTTCTGGTGCCGCCGCTGGATGGAGCAGTCTCGCTCATACAGGTGCAGGACGTTCCCATACTGGTCCCCTGGGGGCAGGACACGGGTTCAGCCTTTCTGAAACCAGACACCTCCTGGCTCTCCCAGCGCCCCGCAGGGGAGGCAGCCAGGCGGGGAGCCCAGCCCCAAGAGCCCCTCTGCTGAGCTGGGTCCCTGCAGGCCTCCCGGAGCGAACCACAGACAGGGACCTGTCCAAAAGGCTGGCCACCGCCAACCAGGAAGACGGCTTCTGGGCTCCCGCCTGGTGAGGCCGCTGGGGCGGACGCTCGGGCCCTCTCCACTCACCCAAGATCTGCACCTCAATGTGGCGTGGCTTCTCGATGAACTTCTCCACAAACAGCGCTCCGTTCCCAAAGGCTGCCAGGGCCTCCGAGTAGGCCCGGGTGTAATTCTCCTCCAGCTCCTGGGAGGGCGGGCGGGCCAGCAGGCGTTGGCTTTCCCCAGGCCCCCTCCATGTCACCTGCATTGAGCTCCGCCCACAACATGTCACCTTCCGCCCACTCCCAGAGATGAGGCCACCTGCTGCCCGCTCCCTGCCTCCAGCCTCACTCACCTCGTAGCTGTGCACGACCCTCATGCCACGGCCTCCGCCCCCATAGGCGGCCTTGAAGATGATGGGGAAGCCGTAGGTGTTGGAGAACTCATGGGCCTCATGCAGGGATGTGATGGGGGCGTCAGTGCCTGGGACCACAGGGACACCTGTTGGGGGACAGGTGTGAGTAGCCTCTGTGAAGAGCTGGAATCCCGGCCCCATCATCAGGGAAACACATGCTCCTGCCACCCTCCCCACCAGCCCCTTGTGAGGAGCTGACTGTCACCTGCAGCGATGGCAATGGCCCGGGCCTCCACCTTATCTCCCATCTTGCGGACCACCTCTGGGCTGGGCCCAATGAACCGGACCCCAGCATCCTGACAGGCTTGGGCGAAGTCCGCCCGCTCGGAGAGGAAGCCGTAACCCGGGTGCACTGCGTCCACGTTGTTCTCCTGCAAGTGGGTCACGAAGGCAGGTCTCCCGTCCGGCATGGCCTTGGCCGACCTCCCACCTCTGCCTGCCCCACTTGGTCCCCACCCCCAGCCTGCGGGCTGCTCACCTTGGCCACCTTGATGATGTCGGGGATGTGCAGATAGGCCTGCACGGGGGCCAGGCCCCGGCCAATGAGGTAGGCTTCGTCAGCCTTCTGCCGATGCATCTGGCCGGTGTCCTGCTCGGAGTAGACGGCCACTGTGCGGATGCCCAGCTCCGTGCAGGCCCGGAACACGCGGATGGCGATCTCGCCTGGAGGCAATGAAGGGAGATCACACTCCTGGGCCCAGGGACAAGCAAAGGGGCCAGGGTGGGGCGGGGTGAGGAGGAGGCTGAGGCTGGCAGCTCCGGGCTCACCTCTGTTGGCCACCATGACTTTCTTAATGGGCTTGTACTCCAGCCGCCGCACATTTGGAGAGGCAGCAGGGGCAGTGGAGGTTCGGCGGATACCCAGGAGCCTCAGGCCCCCTCGAACCGTCCGGAACTTCAGCATCTGGGGAGGACAGAGTCCACTTAGAGAGGCTGCAGCACTGAGGCTTCCCGAGCCATGGCAACCCCACACAGGGGCCCGTGCCATCCGCCACCTCCATTTGTGACGAGCTGTAGACAAGGAGCAGATGGAACCCACTAGAACCCCAGCTCCCATTGCCAGCCTCAAAACCAGAGGACCTCAAGCTCTGAAAGCAATTTGTGGCTTGCTGGTGTCTGTCCAGGCACACTGCCCAGGCAGGCCCTGGCTGTGGCCCTTTCCCAGGGTCCTGGCAGCCAGGAAGGAGGGCAGCAACAGACTTGTCCTGTGCGCGGATTCACAGGAGAGAGCCTGAGCTTGGTTAAAGCAGGTTTCTCTCAATAGTGGCAGAAATTTTCCTTTCTACAAAGGGCAACTAAATACATCATCAATAAAAATCACCAAGGGCAGGCACACTACCATGGGAGGTCAAGCCCTGTGGTCCAGATCCACCCACACCGGCCTGGGAGGGTCCCAGGTGCACAGCAGGCTGGTCCACCCCCCACCCCACCCCACCAGAGGGGCAGACACCCACCAGAGCTAGCCTCTGGTGCAGGACCGCCCCTTCCAACCAGCAGACGACTGCGGGAGCTGAGTTCCAGCCCAGACCACCCACACCAGCCCACTGGGGATCCAGGTTCTCAGGAGTCCCGGGTCCACCCCCCTCCCGGGGACAGACACCCACCAGAGCCTAGCCTCTGGCGCAGGACTGCCCCTTCTGACCAAGAGACTACCGAGGGAGGTCAAGCCCAGCCGCCCAGATCCACCCACTCCAACTTGCACAGGACCCAGATCCAGGATGCAGTAGCACTCACTGAGGGACACCAGCAGGGTCTGGAAGCCCAACATCAAGGTGAGGTACAGACAATCTGCACAGTACTACAAGAATATAGGGAAGAAACTGTAACATCTCAGATCCACTCTGCAAGAAAGGAAGACACATAGACAACATGAAAAAACAAGGGGGGAAAGGGCCCCAAACAAACCAGGACACTACAAGAACAGAACCCATGCACAGCGAAGTTGATGGAATGTCAGAGAGGGAGTCAGAGGTTCATAATTAAAATGACCTGTGAATTAAAGAATGACCTAAATGAGCACATACAGGCAAAAATTGATCACTCCAACAATGAGATGAGAGAGCAAATACAGGTAGCAAAAGATTACTTCAAGGGAGAGAAAGAGAGAGAGACTCTGAAAAAAAAAAACCAGTCAGAAATCCTTGAAATGAAGGATACAATAAATCAAATAAAAAGCTCAATAGAAAGCATAATCAACAGACTAGATCACTTGGAAGAAAGAAAGTCAGATAATGAAGACAAAGTATACAATTTGGAAAATAAAGTTGATCACACAGTGAAGATAGTTAGAAACTGTGAACAGAACATTCAAGAATTATGGGACAACATCAAAAGACCAAATCTAAAAGTTATTGGGATAGAGGAAGGCACAGAGTTTCAAACCAAAGGAATGCACAATCTCTTCAATGAGAAAATATCAGAAAATTTCCCAAGCATGAAGAACAAATTGGAAAACCAAAAAGAAGAGGCTTACAGGACACCAAATGTACAAAATTACAACAGATTTACACCAAGGCACATATAATGAAAATACCTAGCATTCAGAATAAGGATAGAATCTTAAAAGCCACAAGAAAGAGGAATCCGATCAAGGGGAGACCAATTCGTATCTCAAATCTATCTTGTAGCTTTTTCAACCCAGACCCTCAAAGCCAGGAGATCATGGAACAACACATACCAAGCTCTGAAAGAAAATGGATGCCAACCAAGAATCTTATTTCCAGCAAAACTAAGCTTTAGATTTGATGAAATAAAAACCTTCAATAATAAACAAAAGTTAAAAGAATTTACAACTAGAAAGTCTGTACTACAGAACATCCTCAGTAAAATATTCCAAGAAAAGGAAATGAAAAACAATGATAAAAATCAGTAGAGGGAGGGATTACACTAAAGGAAAATCTAATCAGAGGAGAAACCAAGTCACATTAAATACCAAAAATAAACAAAAATGGCTGGGAATACAAATCATGTCTCAATAATAACCCTGAAATGTTAATGGCCTAAACTCACCAATCAAAGGACAAAGACTAGCAGATTGGATTAAAAAAAAAAAAAAGACCCAACAATATGCTGCCTCCAAGAGAATCATCTCATAGGAAAAGACATCCACAGACTGAAGGTGAAGGGTTGGGAGAAATCATACCATTCACGTGGACTGCGGAAACAAGAGGGTTTCCATCCTCATATCAAATGAAGTAGACTTCAAACCAAAGTCAATCAAAAAGGATAAAGAAGGACACTACATACTGCTCAAGGGAACCATACATCAAGACTTAACAATTATAAATATATATGCCCCCAAACATCTATGTTCATCAAACAAACTCTTCTCAAGTTCAAGAGTCAAATAGACCACAACACAATAATTTTGGGTGACTTTAACACACCTCTTTCATCACTAGATGGATCTTCCAAACAAAAACTGAACAAAGAAACTATAGAACTTAATTATACAATCAATATCTTAGCCTTAGCTGACATATATAGAATACTTTGTCCTTCAATGAGAGAATACACTTTCTTCTCAGCAGCACATGAATCCTTCTCTAAAACAGACCATATATGATGCCACAAAGCAACTCTTAGCAAATATAAAAAAGTAGAGATACTACCCTTCATTCTATCAGATCATAATGGAATAAAATTATAAATCAATGATAAAATAAGAAATAAAATCTGCTCCAACACCTGGAGTAAATAATATGCTACTGAATGAACAATGGGTTACAGAAGACATCAAGGAGGAGATCAAAAAAATTTTAGAGGTGAATGAAAACAGATACATCATATGGAAATCTCTGGGACACTATGAAAGCAGTACTAAGAGGAAAGTTCATTGCATGGAGTTCATTCCTTAAAAGAAGAAAAAGTCAACAAATAAATGACTTAACATTACATCTCAAAGTCCTAGAAAAAGAAGAAAAAATCAACACCAAAAGCAGCAGAAGACAGAAAATAATTAAAATCAGAGCTGAAATCAATGAAATTGAAACAAAAGAAACAATTGAAAAAACTGACAGAACAAAAAGTCGGTTCTTTGAAAAAATAAATAAAATTGACAGACCCTTAGTCATGCTGATGAAGAGAAGGAGAGAGAAAACCCAAATCACTGACATATTTGATGAAAAAGGAAATATCACAACAGACACTACAGAAATCAGAAGATAACTAGAAATTATTTTGAAAACTTGTACTCCAATAAAATAGAAAATACTGGAGACATTGACAAATATCTAGAGTCATATAATTTGCCCTAATTGAATCAAGATGATACACACAATTTACACAGATCAATTTCAAGCATGAAATAGAAGACGCCATCAGAAGCCTACCAACCAAGAAAAGCCCAGGACCGGGCGGGTACACAGCTGAGTTCTACAGACGTTTAAAGAAGAACTAGGGCTGGGGATGGGGCTCAAGCGGTAGCGCCCTCGCCTGGCATGCGTGCGGCCCGGGTTCGATCCTCAGCACCACATACAAAGATGTTGTGTCCGCCGAAAACTAAAAAAAAATAAATAAATAAAAAATAAAAATAAAGAAGAACTAACACCAATATTCTTCAATTTATTTCAGGAAATAGAAAAAGAGGCAGCACTTCCAAACTCATTCTATGAGGCCAATATCACTCTGATTCCAAAACCAGGCAAAGATACATCAAAAAAAGAAATTTCAGACCAATATCTCTAATGAACATAGATGTAAAAATTCTCAATAAAATTCTGGCAAATTGAATACAAAAACATATCAAAAAGATCAGAGATCAAGTGGGATTCATCCCAGGGAGGATTGGTTTCTCCTCTGATTAGAAGATTGGTTCAACAAACGGAAATCAATAAATGTAATTCCTCACATCAGAAGACTTAAAGATAAGAATCATATGATCATATCAATAAAAGCATTTGACAAAATACAGCACCCCTTTATGTTCAAAACACTAGACAAACTAGGGATAATAGGAACATATCTCAACATCGTAAAGGCTATCTATGCTAAGCCCCAGCCAACATCATTCTAAATGGAGAGAAATTGAAGTTGAATTGAAATTCTAAAAACTGGAACAAGGCAGGGATGCCCTCTTTCACCTCTTCTATTTAACAAAGTTCTTGAAACACTGGCCAGAGCATTTAGACAGACGAAATAAATTAAAGGGATACACATAGGAAAAGAAGAACTCAACTTGGCACTATTTGCTGACAATATGATTCTATACCTAGAAGACTCTAAAAGTTCCACCAGAAAACTTTGAGAACTAGTAAATGAATTCAGCAAAGTAGCAGGATATAAAATCAACACCCACAAATCAAAGGCATTTGTGCATATCAGTGACAAATCCTCAGAAAGGGAAACGAAGAAAACTTTACAAAAGAACTATTTACAATAGCCTCAAAAGAAAAAAAAAAAAAAAAACCCTTGGGAATCAACTTAAAGAAAGAGGTGAAAGATCTATATAATGAAAATTACAGAACCCTAAAGAAAGAAGTCAAAGAAGACCTTAGAAGTCAGAAAGATCTACCTTGCTCTTGGATAGGAAGAATTAATATTATCAAAATGACCATACTACCAAAAGCACTATACAGATTTAATGCAATTCCAATCAAAACGCCAATGACATTCCTCACAGAAATAGAAAAAGCAATCATGAAATTCATCTGGAAAAACAAGAGACCCAGAATAGCTAAAGCAATTTTAGCAGGAAGAGTGAAGCAGGTGGCATCACTATACCCGACCTTAAACTATACTACAGAGCAATAGTAACAAAAACAGCATAGTATTGGCACCAAACAGACTGGTAGACCAATGGTACAGAATAGAGGACACAGAGACTAACCCACAAAATTACAGTTATCTTATATTAGACAAAGGTCTTAAAAACATGCATTGGAGAAAAGAGCCTCTTCAACAAAT